AGGGGGTTTTGTGTGTTTTCTTATTTTATTACTTTTCTTATTGTATTACTTTTTTTTTTTTTTTTAAATTTTCAATCCGTGGTTGGTCGAGTCCACAGACACAGAACCTCTCTGATAGGGAAGGTTTGTCCTAAACCAGAGGTTTGTGGGTTTTTGTTTGTTTGTCTCTTTGTTTAACCTCTAGATGTTAAATTGAGCCCCTCTTTAAAATTTAGTTAGTTTTGCTATTGGATGTATGTGCTCACCAGAGAGAGACAGAGAGAGAGAGGAGAGACATTGAGAGAAATCACCCCTTGGGGGATGGACCATCACAGTCCCTTCTCCTTCATTCTCCTCTTGGGATTTTGGACACTCAGGCCTGGCATGTTTTTCAAGCCGCTGGGTCCAGGCCACGTGGGATCTAACCACTTTAGCTACCATGCTACCAGCTGGCCCTGAATCCATTTTATTTATTTAATTTTAGAATTATTAATTTTATTTAATTTATTCATTTATTTTAATTTGACCAGAGAGACAGACACAGAAGGAAAGAGAGGGAAAGTGGGGAAGCAAGCTGTCAGGCCTGGGACTCAAACCATGTGTGATGGTCAGCCATGTGGGAGTCCAGCACCTCAACCAACACGCTACCTGCTGGCCCGAGTCCTTTCTATTTTTATGAAACATTATCACACTGTTCTTTTTTCCCCTCAAGGTATTAATAAATATATCTTTCTGGATTGGCCTTAACCCAGTGGGTAACTTTGGGAACCATCCAATTTGAAGTTTCTCTATGGATTTCAAGCCCTGCATTATTTTTCCAACCAGGAATTAGCTTTCAGACACCCCATACGGTGCATCACGTCCATTACAAATGTGCCTTCATCATCAGATTAAGCCATGCGGGGTTTAGGGGACAGAGAGTCTGTAACTGTGCTTCGTTTCTGCATTATTTATTTATTTATTTATTTTTGGAGAGGTTTTTGCTATAGGGCGCATGCACTTGCCAGAAAGACAGCAAGAGACAGAGAGACAGAAAGCGAGAAATCACCCCCCAGGGGGGATGGTCAAGCCATAATCCCTTCTCCTCCGTTCTCCTCTCGGGATCTTGGGCATGCATGCACACACGCCTGGCATGAGTTTAAGCCTCCGGGTCCAGGCCTCGACCCGCGGCCGACTACATGGGAGTCCAGCGACATAGCCATTACGCTAACTGCTGGTCCCACATTTCTGTATTCTTGATGCAGATGCAGCTTGTTGAGCCTGCTGAGGATGATCCTATGACTTGGTACACTTTGATTCCAAAAAGAGAGATTTTCACCTTGTGCAAAACTACAACAAAATCAAAACTTGACCTAGCAGCAGGCACAGAAACACGAGACTTCACCCAACGCCAAAGAAATCAAAGATTGCACTTCCTCTGATGTTTTCCTGGGAACTAAACATTTACTCAAAGCTCAACACAAATAAAGGGCATTGTTATGTTTTTATCATTTTACTTAGCTGCACGTATTTGTCTACATCCTGCCGTTACAATAACCAGGAGAGAATAGTGAAAAGGGGCATTTATTTTTATGTGAGAAAAAGCTCATATTTAGAATGGTTTATGTTATGCTTGAAAACAAATGATTCATGAAACATATGGTAAGAGGGCTTTTTTAATCACGAAAAGTCGTCTTTGTTCATTGAAATCAATTATGCTCCTTTAAATCATTTCAAGCGTCTACCATTTGCATAATTAAGCTAGTAGTGTAGACATCAAATAAACACAGGGGTGACAGGTTTATTTCAGAATTAAAGTAATCAGAAGCTAGAAAGTCACGTTAGAGATTTTCATAAATGTATGTTTTCTTGGAACTCACAGAATACCTGATGAATTAATGCTGTCAAATGTACATATTCACCATCACTTTTATTTAAAATTTTACAACTTTGCTGAGGTTTAGATGACATGCCTTTAACGTTTTATAGCTAGTGTGCTGGCAGGTAACATGGTGGTTAAGGCTCTGGGCTCACACATGGCCATATACGGTTCAAATCTCAGACCTGGTGGCCTGCTTTTTCACTTTCTTCTTCTCTTTCTGTCTCTCTCTGATCAAATTAAAAAATAATAATAAATAAAATAAATAGCTCTTGTAAAAAATTTTAGAGCTCTTTCATATTGCTCTCCCTGAAAGGCTGTTATCACATTCTAAGTATTTCTAAGGAGATCCTTTTCCCCACAATCCCAGCCAATAATCGATGTAAATGATTTTTAAATGTGGCAAGTTTTGGGCTGGGAGGTGGTACAGAGGTTAAGGCAGCTGGACCCCACATGGCTGCCTATGCAGTTCAGATCTTGGATCCAGCAGCTCGAAAAACATGCTGAGTATTATGTGCATGTATGCCTGAAATCCCAAGTGGGGAATGGAGGAGAAGGGATTGTGTCATGACCATTGCCCCTCTGGGGATGATTTCTCACTTTTCCTCTCTGTCTCTGTCTCTGTCTCTCTCCAACGAGTGCATATGCCATATACCAGACTGGAAAAACAAAAACAAAAACATGCAAGCTTCGCGTATGCTTTGTTGGATATTTTCTTGACCACTAGTGAGTTTGAACAACTTTAGTTATGTGTATTGGTTATTTTGATTTGCTCTGAATCACCTGATTATTGAATGTTTTTATTCAGTTTTCAAGGACCCAACTTTTGTCCCCCTGCATATAAAATAGGGATAATTATCCATCCATTGTCATGTACATTTCAGTTGATCTCCCACATGTATTGTGTGTCGCACATTTTGAAAGCTTTTCTCACTTCTGAACTCAATAGTTTAAATGATCTATAGTTAACGTCATCTGTTTCCACATAGTTTCTGGATTTTCTATTATGAAAGTCTCACCTGTAGCTTCTAATTTTTTTTTTTTTTAAGATTGTCGATTCTTTTTTTTTTTTTTTTTTTTTTTTTTTTTGAGGGGTTTTTTTT